CTCTCTCTCTCTCTCTCTCTCTCTCTCTCTCTCTCTCTCTCTCTCTCTCTCACACACACACACACACACACACACACACACCAGATATGATGTATGTTGAATTCTGCCTATATTACAACTTCTTGATCCCTGTTTGTCTATGTATAATGTTCGCTGTTTTTTGCCTCTCCAAGTGCATGTGGTTCACTACTGCGTGACGTATCTGTGTCCACCGACGCTGTTTGTTGTCGTTCTGGCCCGCAGTAGTGAACCTGTACATCCATCGCTGCATCAATTTCTCTGTCTCTCTCTTCACATATGATCTTTCTTTCTGTCTCTGTCTCTGTCTCTCTCTCTCTCTCTCTCTCTCTCTCTCTCTCTCTCTCTCTCTCTCTCTCTCCATATATGATGTATGTCGTCTTCTGCCTGAATTATAAGTTTTTGATCCCTGTTTGTCCGTGTATAATGTTTGCTGCTCTTTGCGTCTCCAAATACATGTAGTTCACTACTGCGTGATGTATCCGTGTCCACCGGTGTTGTTTGTTGTCGCTTTGGCCCGCAGTAGTTAACCTTTCTCTCTCGCTGCATCTCTCTCTCTCTCTCTATCTATCTATCTATCTATCTATCTATCTATCTACCTATCTATCTATCTATCTATCTATCTATCTCGGCTGAGGGGTCATGTCGCAGCGACGTGTTTTCATGAATGTATGTGGTGTCTCATGCAATGGATGGAACCCGCCATTGCATCAACTGTCAACGCTGGAGAGATAAATGCCATGGACACGGAGGACATTTTAAAGGGTTTTGCAGATGGCGGAAAGGAAGGGAATTCGGCTGGACTCGAGACCAGTGGAGCGGGAGGGAGTACAACAGACTGTGCAGAGGTGCTTGCCACAATATATGCACAGACTGCAGATATGGTGAGTGATGGGCATGACACAGAGAATGATGCAGGAGGGAGCACATGTGAGACGGAGAAGGTTGAGGAAAACAGAGAGACGGGAGATGTGGGAAGCAGAGAATCTCCCACGGGGTGTATTGTGAGAGACGAAAACGTGATGAGGGCATCAGCAGGAGAACAATACCCATATGACATTAATTGGGTGTCGGGTCGTGTTCAACCGGGTATTGTTGAAGACACACCATGCTTTGCGTTCAAGGTCGATGGCACGTGGGTTCCATTTCCAGCCCCCATGAAGAGTACATGACGAAACATAACTCTGTCATTCGTGTATGACAAAGTATTAAGGTTGAAAGATGGGGAAACGATAGAGGAGAAAGGGCGGTATGCATTAGAAATGTGGCGTGTTCTAGAGCCACAGGGCGAGTTCCGCCTGAACGATTTTTTGTATGACACTTTTGATTGCGGACAGCCATGGGTGATTGGTGGTAACCAAGCGACAGGGAGTATGACATGCCAAGAGAGCGATGCAAGGAAGGATCCTCGATGGGGTTGGGTACCATGTGTGATCTCATTTCCATATGGTCGTGTGAGGATGATGATGCGTGATACGATGAGAGATGTGTGGAACACACATTACGTGAATGACAACTTCTCCTTCAGACATCTGGACAGGGAGGTCACACAAGAGGAGGAGGCAATGACATCTTGTCCCCACACTGCTGGCTGCTTCGTCCCGCCGCTTCGGAACCCTGTGCAGTTGGAGGTGGTTGAAGGGAAAGTGTTCAGTGGTGACAGTTGCAGCACATACACGCAGGCCTGCATGGAGATATGAGACCATGTGGTTATGAGGAAGGACGTTCTGTCTGCAACGGACATTAGGGTCCACGCCATCTCGGAAGGACAATTGCAGCAGCATATGGCCCCTGAAAAGTATGGGTATCGTGTCAATTGGGTCCTTGGATGTTTGCATCCTGCAGTTGTCGATGACAAGGTCACGCTGGCGGCACGACTGCAATCAGGGCATTGGCTCCCATTGGGCTAGATGCACGCAGGCGTTGTGGAGTATTGGCAGTTCCTTGTGGTTCTGGCACGTGTCTCTATTTTCAATGCACATGTATGACTCCATGGCTGACTAGGCGATGTGGTCCATGGTTGAGGAGAGTCATGGGGGCGAAGAGCAGGGCGACGTGCAAAACAGATACGTGGCTGACATTCGCCGCAAGCACGGGTGGACGACATCTTGGTTGGGTCCCGGTCGTCTGCCTTATGACATTTGAGCATGGTGGAGACGTGTGCATGAGATTCAGAGACCCGCTTGGTGTGCCTTTCCATCTGACCTACTCAGATGGACTGCTGAGAGACCTTCAGTACGTGGCAGATGATGACTTGGCCGATCCATCACAACCACGCGAGAGGACAAAGCAGCAACAAGATATATCTCATTTGTCTTCTGAGGTGGAGAGTTCATGTGATCCTCGTCACGACAGAGGGTGCTCTGCAGCACAAGGTGACATAGGCGGTCCGAGCGATGTGGGGATGTCGCAGAGCCCAAGGAAGATGAAGATGTGCACGTCTAGACCGGCACATGCACAGACGCCCGCCGCCAAAAAGAAAGTGAATCAGAAGGTGGTGCCAGCAACCGGTGACACAGCAGGTGCACCAACTCGGACCCCCAAACGCCGCCGACGCCCGGGGATGACAGCTTTGACAGAAATCAAAAAGCTGCAACGATGGACTGACCTTTGCTTGACTTTCAGGCCATTCATGCGGCTTGTGCGTGAGATTGTGAAGAAGGACATCGCTCCAGATATGGGGGTGAAATTTCAGATGACTGTTGTGCGTGCATTGATGGAGGTTGCCGAAGCTTACCTAGTTGCCAGTTTCGAGAACACAAACGAGGTGGCCATCCATTCGAAGAGGGTGACGATCCAGCTCAAGGACTTGAGACTGGTTGATAGGCTGTCGAAGCCTCGTTGGGTTGAGAAATATCAAGGTATGTTGGACGAGAAGGCGAGAAATGAGGAGAGACAGCAACGGATGGAGGTCAGACAGACGGATACAGATGGCAGCAGAGCAAGGGCAGCGAAGAGGAAAGGAGTGTCACACAAAGACAACGCACAGAAAAAAAAGGCAGCATGAGAGATCAACAAAAAAAACAACAACTCACATGCATTGTACTGTAGAAGATTCACGAAACAACGGTATGTACTGCAGAACGCATGTCATGTCCAAGCTTGGACACTGTGGTAGTCTTTGCAGTATTAAGTGGAATGATGAACTTAGCATGGTCGCACAATGAACCATCTCTCACTTCGCCTGTGATGCCCACTGTTGTACAACTTTGTGCTGCCCGTGTACGATAGTCCTCTCTCTCTCTCTCTCTCTCTCTCTCTCTCTCTCTCTCTCTCTCTCTCTCCAGCGATGATGCCGATGTACGAGTGATGATGTTTATGTTAGAGAGAGAGAGAGAGAGAGAGAGAGAGAGAGAGAGAGAGAGAGAGAGAGAGAGATTAGGTTCACTAGTGGGGGGCATGAAGGTATTTAAGGACGACTCTATCGCTGATTTTGGCCCGCAGTAGTGAACTTCATATATTTTTGTTTTTTCTTGTTCTTCTTTCTTTCTTACTTACTTTCTTTCTTTGTTTTTTTTTCTTTTTTCTTTTCTTCTTCTTTCTTTCTTTCTTTCTTTCTTTCTTTCTTTCCAATTGATCCGGCTTTCATTGTGTTCGAACCTTGAACCTGTTGCAAGTGTTCTCTACTTCGTAGTCTTAGGCTTTTCAGCCTTGTTGTTTTGTCCAGTTTTCGCCCTTCTGAAAACTGGTAGGCGCCCGCAGGTCTATCATATGTGTGACCTAGCCTTGGGTCCCCTTACTGTAGGTTTCCATATACATGCATGTAAGTAGATCTTTACTGTTGGGTCATAGAACTTTGCCGTTTGGACGGTTGTGAAGGTCTGTAAGTGCATGTTGTGTTGTAGGTCTAGGGAAGTTGGGTACAAGTAGGCAGAGGCTGACGAATTTGGGGTTCTTTTCGTTGCTTTTCTTCTCACGGGCTTGGTGGAGGTCGCGTTGCTTCCCTGTTGCGCTATTGTGGACATGTACGCAGGTCATCGTAGTATCCCTATGGAACTGTACACTAAGTGTGTTTGTTGTTTCCTTGGTTTGACCCTTGCGAGACTTCATCCCGTGACCTGTAATTTGTACGTCTGGTTTGTTAGCTTCGAGCCCTCTTCTCCCTCTTCCACGTCTGCACGCGCTTCTCTCTCTCCCACCCTCTCTCTGTCTGTTTGTTTTGTGTTACGATCTTGACCAATTTCAAAGTATATACTCAGCAGAAAGTTCAATGTCGTCTAATTGCAAAAAAAAAAGAATGAACTTGAGAGGAGAGAGAGCGAAAGAAAAAGAAAAAGAAGACGAAACAAAGAAGAAGAAAAAGAAGAAGAAAGAAAGAAGAAGAAGATGATATACACCAACATAGACCAATGAGAAAAATCTTTTTCTTCGCCAATCAACCTCCTCCTCCTTATTCCCTCCCCTCTTATTCAAACCAGAAATAACAATAATGATGTCGAATGGCTGAACCAGAATCAAAGTCCGAATCTGTCTCCTATCTGGTTTGTCTGTCTGTTTGGTCTGGTTTGTCTGTTTGTATGTCTGTCTGTCTGTCTGTCTGTCTGGTCTGTTTGTCTGTCTGTCTGCTCTGTATGTCTGCTATGTCTGCTATGTCTGCTCTGTCTGGTTTGTCTGTCTTTCTGGTCTGCCTGTCTGTGTGTCTGCTCTGTCTTTTTGCACTGTCTGGTCTGGTCTGTCTGTCTGGTCTGGTCTGTCTGTCTGGTCTGGACTGTCCATCTAGTCTGTCTGTCTGTCGGTCCGTCTGTCTGTTTGTTTGTCTGTCTCGTCTGTCGGGGCTGTCTGGTCTGTCTGGTCTGTCTGTCTGTTTGTCTAGTCTGTCTGTCTGTCTGTCTGTCTGTCTGTCTGTCTGGNNNCACTAGTGGGGGGCATGAAGGTATTCAAGGACGACTCTATCGCTGACTTTGGCCCGCAGCAGTGAACTCTATATATTTTTGTTTTTTCTTGTTCTTCTTTCTTTCTTTCTTACTTTCTTTCTTTGTTTTTTCTTTTTCTTTTTTTTCTTCTTTCTTTCTTTCTTTCTATCTTTCTTTCTTTCTAATTGATCCGACTTTCATTGTGCTCGAACCTTGAACCTGTTGCCAGTGTTCTTTACTTCGTAGTCTTCGACCTTTCAGCCTTGTTGTTTTGTCCAGTTTCTGCCCTTCTGAGAACTGGTAGGCGCCCGCAGGTCTATCTTACTATGTGTGTCCTAGCCTTAGGTCCCCTCACTGTAGGTTTCCATATACATGCATGCAGGTAGATCTTTACTGTTGGGTCATACATATTTGCCGTTTGGACGGTTGTGAAGGTCTGTAAGTGCATGCTGTGTTGTAGGTCTAGGGAAGTTGGGTACAAGTACGCAGAGGCTGATGAATTTGGGGTTCTTTTCGTTGCTTTTCTTCTCACGGGCTTGGTGGAGGTCGTGTTGCTTCCTGTTGCACTATTTTGACTTTTACGCAGACCATCGCAGTATCCCTATGGAACTGTATACTAAGTGTGTTTGCTGTTTCCTTGGTTTGACCCTTGCGAGACTTTATCCCGTGACCTGTAATTTGTACGTTCGGTTTGTTAGCTTCGAGCCCTCTGCTCCCTCTTCCACGTCTGCACGCGCTTCTCTCTCTCCCACCCTCTCTCTGTCTGTTTGTTTTGTGTTACGATCTTGACCAATTTCGAAGTATATACTCAGCAGAAAGTTCAATGTCATCCAATTACAAAAAAAATTGAATGAACTTGAGACGAGAGAGAGCGAAAGAAGAAGAAGAAGAAGAAGAAGAAGAAGAAGAAAGAAAAAAGAAGAAGATGATATACACCAGCATACACCAATGAGAAAAATCTTCTTCTTCGCCAATCAACCTCCTCCTCCTTATTCCCTCCCCTCTTATTTAAACCAGAAATAACAATAATAATGTCGAATGGCTGAACTAGAATCAAATTCCGAATTTGTCTGTCTGTCTGGTCTGTCTGTCTGTTTGGTCTGGTCTGTCTCTCTGTCTGCCAGTCAGTTAGTCAGTCTGTCTATCTGTCTGTCCGGTCTGTCTGTCCGGTCTGTCTGTCTGCTCTGTCTCTCTTGTCTGTCTGGTCTGTCTTTGTGGTCTGTCTATCTTTGTGGTCTGTTTGTTTGTTTGTCTGTCCGTCTGTCTGTTTGGTCTGTCTGTCTGTCTGTCTGGTGTGTGTGTCTGTCTGGTCTGTCTGTCTGGTCTGTCTGTCTGGTTTGTCTGTCTGTGTTTCGCCCTGCTAGCCCCCCCCCCCCATCACAATTTTTTCCCCCCCCTGCGCGGGTGGTTAGGGAAGCGTGATCTCTCTTTCTTCTTCTTCTTCTTTCTTTCTTCCTTTTTTTTTTAATTTTTTTTTTTTTCTTTCTTTCGTCTTCTTCTTTCATCATCATCATCTTCTTCTTCTTCTGTCTGTCTATCTGTCTGTCTTTCTGTCTGTCTGTCTGTCTGTCTGCTCTGGTCTGTCTATCTTTATGGTTTGGTCTTGTCTGTCTGGTCTGGTCTGGTCTGTCTGTCTGTCTGTCTGGTCTGTCTGGTCTGTCTGGTCTGTCTGTCTGGTTTGTTGAATGGCTGACCCAGAATAAAAGTCCCGAATCCCACATCTACTACAGGCAGAACATGAGGTCCACCATAGCCATGGGCACCATCCTTCTTCCTCCTCTCACATGCCTAGGCTATTGCGGGCCAGTACGACGTTGCCCTGATGTACACCGGACAACACAAAGCAGCTATGTCGCTGCCCCCCTTCCTGTCCAACGGACAACACAAAGCAGCTAAGTCGCTGCTGACTGATCCGCCATGCATGACGCTGCCCCGAGCTTCCAATGGGGGCCTTCCAGATGCAGCGCCTGACAAGGTGATGAAGTTGGTCTCCACCATAACCAGGTAGGCACCACGCCACTCTCCTCCCTAGTCCCCTTCTCCCTCCTCCTCCTGCCCTTTACAAGGCATACTTTTTGCCCTTCAGATATTTCTCTCCTACTCTTGCACTCTGCTTCCCCCTACCTCACAGTCCTGACAAACTCAATCCCGTTCTACTCGTCTGGTTCAAATAGGGGTTGTTGTGGGGGAGCTTATAACACACACACACACACACACAGCCTCACAGATACACATACACACACACATACATACCATCAGGGCGAGTACACATGCACAGACACACATATACAGATACACATGCACAGACACACAACCACACAGCCTCACAGATACACATATACAGGCATACACAGACATACACAAATACATACACATACACTAACACACATACACACATACACAGATACACACAAACACATACACAGACACATACACATACATATACACATACACAGACACATGCACATACACAAACACTTGCAAATACACACATGCACAGACACGCATACACTGATAGACATACAACCATTCTTACACAGACACACATACACACAGCCACACAGATACACATACACACATTCTGGCATGCACCCTTCCGGTTGGCTACTGCATGCCAGACATAGACCACACAGGTCCGTTGTGACTTCAAATGGCACGCAGTAACCAACTTAGGAACAGACACGCAGGCACATGCACAGACACTCACATATACACAGATACACACACATACACAGACATATGCATAAAGAAAGACATACACAGACATATACACAGTCACACATACAAAGACACACATCACACACAGGTTGACACATAGATGCCACACACACACACACACACACACACACACACACACACACGACCTCACATTTACGCATACACAGGCATACGCAGACATACACAGATACACACACATACACAAACATACATACACAAACATACATACACATATACACATACACTGACACACATACACAGATACACACACATACACAGACACATACACAGATATATACACATACATATATACATACACAGACACACACAGACACATACACAGACACATGCACAGACACACATGCAGAGACACACATACACAGTCACACATACAGTCGGTCTTACAAAGACACACATACAGTCAGTCTTACACAGACACACATACACACAGCCAAACAGAAACACACATACACATTCTGGCATGCACCCTTCGGGTTGGCTACTGCGTGCCAGACACAGACCACACAGTTCCATTGCGACTTCAAATGGCACGCAGTAGCCAACTTAGGAACAGACACGCAGTCACATGCACAGACACACACATACACACATACACAGACATATACACAAAGAGAGACACATATACAGACACATACACAATCACACACACAGACATACATCACAAACAAGTTGACACATAGACGCCACACACACGCACACACACACACACACACACACACACACACACACACACACACACACACACAGCCTCACAAATACACATACACACGGATTTGTATGGAGATAGATAGATAGATAGATAGATAGATAGATAGATAGATAGATAGATAGATAGATAGATAGATAGAGAGAGAGAGAGAGAGAGAGAGAGAGAGAGAGAGAGAGAGAGTCGATGACGTCATTGTGCGTTTCCGCTGGCAGAGAGAAGAGGAGGAAAAAGGAACCATACGCATCATGTCCATGTCAGTAGCGCAGGTGCAAGCTGCTCTTGCAGAGGTGATGAAGTATGCAAAGGAGCGCGTTCAGTACGACAATGACAACGAGTTGTCTTTGTTTGAGGACAGGGTGACGAGGTGCTTCATTGTCAGTGTGGATATGAGACCCACGATGATGGCAAATGACAAGGGACGTGTCAAAGCACAAACATTGTTGCAACGCTTCAGAAAGTCACCACATGTACGTATGGACAGCGACGTGGAAGACAGTGCATATAGTTTGAAAGGAGTAGTTCAGTGGATGTGCAGCGAAGGGATATGCGAAGAAGGGGACGTGGACACGACAATGCAGCAGAAAGGGGGAGATATACACCTGCGGATTTCAAGAAGTTGCTGGACACTTCCGCTAAGAATTCGGAAATGGTTGTTGATGGGTCGAAGGACGAGTTGAAGACCGGTGCAGCGGAAATTTTGGTGTTGTCCAGAATGAAGGACATAACACAAACACTACACTGCTGATGAACATGAGGTTCTCGCAGTAGTTTATGCCTCTCCGCACTGACGTCACTACATGCACGGGGCACCATTCACGGTGCTCACGGACAACTCTGTTGTCCAGACTTTTCTGACAAAACCGAAGCTCACTCCTCGACAAGCTTGCTAGTGGCGCAACCTATCCGAGTTTAGTTTCACCACTGAGCACATCAAGGACGAGACTAATCGGGTCGCAGATGCCTTATCCCGGCGCCCTGACCATGATCAGTAGTAGATCCAGCTCGCGGCCATCTCGGTCACCACCGTCCACCATTTGGTGATCGACAAGTTTCACACTCAGTACCGCCACTGCCCCAACTATCGCGACACCCATGCGACCCTTCGGAGTGGCAAGACCGTCCCGAACTACTCTCTCGGGGACAACGGTTTTATGTACTAGCACGCTTCACAGGGCACCAGAGAGCCCCGTATTTGCGTTCCCTCCACTGGATAGCTCCGTATCCTGGCAATAGTAAAGTTCCATGATTAGGCATTCGCCGATCATATGGGCTTTCACAAGACGTTGGCTCGTGTGAGCCGCACGTACGTTTGGCCGAAGCGCAAGGACTTTGTGAAGGACTACGTCGCAGAGTGTCCCACCAGTCAGGAGGTGAACAATGCGAACCACCTGCCTTATGGTTTGCTCCAACCTCTTCCTATTCCTGAGGGTCGTTGGCAATCCATCTCGATAGACTTTATCGGTCATCTTCGTCCTCCGACCCCCCACGGTCATGATGTTATCCTGGTCGTCGTCGACCGCTTCACGAAGCGCACACGCTTTGTTCTGTGCCGCTATGCCATCAGTGCGCGTGAGGTCGCCGACATCATGTTTGACCGAGTCGTGCGTGACCACGACTTATCTTTGAGCGTCATACTTGACTGTGACCTGCGCTTTACCAACCGATTGTGGCGACGGTTCCACGAGGTGTACGGCACCCAGCTCCGCTTCTCCTCGTCTTACCATCCCAGATTGATGGTCAGACCGAGATCCCGAACAGGACTCTCGGAGATATTCTCCGAAAGATTGTTCGTGACGACCAGCAGTGGGATCTCCATCTTGCCCACGCGGAGATAACCTACAACCACGCCGTCTCGCCAGCCACGGGGATGCCGCCTTACTATTGCGATCTCAGCTATCACCCTAATGTTCTTGCGGAGTTCCTTCGACTGTCACAGATGCACCCCGACACGAGTTGTCCCGCGCTGGATGATTGGGTTGCACACATGACATCGATCATGAAGACCGCGCATGAGCACATAGCCGTTTCTCAGACTCACATGGCCGCACGTGTGAACCGATCGTGGATGGATCACCCATTCAAAGTCGGTGATGATGTGTTTATCGACGCCCACCATTTACAGCTCAAAGCGGACACGCTTCGCAAGTTCCGGCGTCCCTTCTTTGGCCCATGCCGCATTCTCCACGCCGTCGGTTTTGCGGCTTCTACCCGGTCAGCTTCCATGTGAAGCTGCTCGACTACCTACGCCAGACTCGTGTGCACGATGTCCACCACGTCTTGTTACTGCGTCCCTACCACAGACCGTCTGAGCATTTCGCTGGACGACCATACGAGCGCCCTCCACCCATCATGGTGGACGGCCACGAGGAGTTCCTCGTTTCAGACGTCATTGGTCGTTGCGTCACCGATGACAACCCTCCCCATATCGAGTATCTCGTACGTTGGAAGGGTTACCCTGATGAGGACGCTACTTGGGAGCCCCTCGAGCACTTGCAGCACGCTCGCATATTCGTGCGTGCCTATGATCGTGCTCGTCGTACTGGGTTGACTGCTCCTTCTCCTTCTCCCTCGGTTGACAAGACCGCTGAAGTCGAGCCTGGTCCATCTAAGGCAGACCTTCAGCACCAGCCGGATGTTTCTGAGCGTCCACAGCGCACTCGTCGTCGTCCTGCTCGATACGACGATTGACTTTGACTTATCTTCCCACTTCTTTGACTTCTCAATACTCCATCCACTCCAGTTTTGTCACTCGAGCTCGTCGACGTTGCGGCTCTTCCTCGACAGCATTCCAGACTTCTCATCATGGACGTCATCGGCGACTTCATGGACTTCGTCACGATCAGCTCTGCCTACTTCAGACGTCGTCCCTCCCTTACCACCTTACCCTATACAGTACCCTGGTTGTGTTGCATGATGGTCTCCCTTCGCCGGGTTCCTCTGAGTTGGGCTCTCCCTTGGTATATGCATAGGCATCAAGACTGTAGTGTTGCCTTGGCTTCCTAGCTTACGGATCCAACTCCGACTTCTCCCATCTTAGGAGTCATTTCCATGATTCCCTTACCCATCACTTTTTTTACCCTCTGCCGGCCCTCACACTCTAGTTAGGCAGCCTCGCATGCTTCATCTAGGTGCGCCCAGTATACCAGGCTCCCTTGTACCCTTGCATGGTCGACCCTTCATCGCGGTCACCCCTTTAGTCGAGCATTACCCGCCCTGATGGTCTATCTGTTAGGGTCATTAGTTCTGTTTGCTCCCAATCCCCTACCCTCATTGAGCCTGATGACATGTGTCTCCCTGTCATTTTGTGTGGATGTCCTTAGGAGTTATCGACCCCTAGGTTGCATTCGCTACCCTCAGAGACCATCCCACCTTTTGGTATGCGACACACTCCTCCTGTGACATATGATTGTCTTGTTGTTGCTTTGTTGCTCTCAGACTGAGGTTACTGCCTCTGACATTTCTAGGATTTAGTTATTCTGCTTTTGTTGTTCTTAGGACTTATACACTAGTCAGCTGTTTCCAGACTGAGGCTACTGCCTCCAACATTCTAGGATCTTGCTGTCATTACTTTCTGCTTTCCTAGGACATATATCCTAGTTAGTTGCTTCTGCTTTCACTTAGGCTGCTAACTGTGATATTGTTGTTTTTGTGACATTTCCTATCCTAGGTTGCATCGCATGGACTCAGCATGGAGCATGCTCCACATCCTAGACTACCCGGGTTTTCTTTTTCTTTGGTAAAGTTCCGCTTCTTGGCGGAAGCGTGCTTGTATTTAGGTGATCCATCACAGACCGAGGATCGTGTAGCGGACCTTTGGTTGGCTTGTGAGACTAGCCACTTGGCCTGTTCTCACAGGCTTGTGTTGTATTCGGGTTAGTCCAGTCCAGGCCGGTACCTCTGTTATTACCAGCTAGTCCAGTCCAGTCCAGTCAGTCCGTTGGGGTATACCCCAGCTGTTGTCTGTTTTTCGGATCATTCTATATTCGCACGTTTTGGAGTACGTGCGTTCGAGTCTAGCATGGGAGCTGCGTTGTGCCATCTCGCTCCCCCTTCTTCCTCTATCTCCATCTCTATCCCAGGCGGAACACCACACCTGGTGGGTCCGCCACAACGACAGACACTCCGATCAACTGCCATCCTCCTACTGACTCACACCTTTAGGCACTTCGTCATCAGCTTCTTCAGGATGTCAGCATTTTGCGTCTCTGCTTCGACATCGACAAGACTCCTACATCATCGACGTCATCGACCACTTTGACGACTTCAACTACCTTCTCGACTTCAACTACCTTATTGACTTCATCTACTTTAAATGTAACTACTGCGCTCCACCACCCTACCCTGTACATTCCCTTGCATGTGTCGCATGATGATTCTCACTTAGTTGGGTCTCTCTACGTTAGGTTTTCCCTTGGTATCGCATAGGCATTGAGACCGTAGCATTATCTTGACTTCCCTGCTCCCAGATCTAGCTCCATCTCCCAGTCGGTGAGTTGTGTGCATGTTTCCCTCACCTATGTGTCTGATTTCCCATTCAACGGGGGTTTCGCGTTGAAAGGTTCAACGACCGTTGAACCCCCGTTACAACACCACGCTATACCGCGTTAGAACGAAGTACAACGAGGCCCGCAATTTTTTTTTTCGCAGGCAAAAAATAATAAAAACCTATTAAAAAAAAATGCGGCAATAATTTTTTTTGCGCTCTACATCCCCATATTTTTATTTTTATTTTTATTTTTTTAACACTTAAATTATTTTTAAAAAATCAAAAACATAAACTAAAAAACATCGATTTTTTTTATTTTTTTTTTGAATGATTGATTGATTGATTGGTGGGAGATGGGTCGCCCCCCCACCCCACCCAATCACACACAACACACACACACGCACATACACATACACACACACACACACACACACACACACACACACAC